ACTGCAGCCTCTAACTGGACCCAAGTGACACTTACAGATACGTCTAGATGCCGTTTATTGTGCAGTAGCTGAGCAGATACTTATCAAGCCAGCTGCAAACGGACATTAGCAGTGCACTGTCCCCCCCGGTAAATGTTTGTTTGGTGTCAACAAGCTAAGGTGCAGGACAACACTTGTGCTCATGTTTGTAAGTTAGACACAAAGGGCACTTTAGCAGGAAGCTAATGTGGTTGTTGTTAAGTCTGAGACTTGCGTGTTATGTAGCTGGCTACTCTCTGGCTCAGTGTGACCATCTGCTCTGCCTATGATAAAACACTATGGTACTGCCTTATGTAAGATTTGATTGGCCGCATCGAAAACAAGGTCTCCATCTGTGTAGACAGATACAGGAACTGTATTGTGTCACATTAATTCACAACCATGTGACACCATTATGAAACAAAAAATATACATTTATCTCCTGTTGTTTGCGTTTCTTGCTGAAACAGAACGCAGAGCATGTTATTGACATTGCAGATAGCCGAAACAAACTAAGAATATTAAGGAAGCCACTTTGTTTGACATTGAATCCACAGTAGTCCAGTAGTAGATCGGTTAAAGGCAGAAAGCCATCATCCCTTCAATGCTGCACTTGTCTTTCTTTAACCTACCTTGATGTTAGTGTGACACTGGCTATTGTAGTTATTCATGAATAACAGAGGGAGTGGGTGAATCATCAAATCCAGTGAGTTTCCATCAATATAATTTGACCTTTGAAACGTTTGCGAATATACAGTTTACAGTTTTTCTCCTAAAAGATACAGTTGCAGTATTTTGTTAATATCACCTGCAGGTCGCCAGATTTCCTCCCAAAGCATCAACATTTGAGCAGGGTTTGCATATGCAGTCCCATCTCAGTACCAGTGAGGGACTGGCTATAGTACATGGCCCCCATCCAGTTGTTAAATTGCCACTGCGGTTCTCCACCAAATTATTTGGCTCTCCTTGTGATGCTATTGAACTGTTTTTCTACAACGCACAACAGTTCTCGTAGGACCTGGACAGCAATTATTAACCAAATGTGTTATCTCCTCCCAAGCTAATTTAACATCATCCGCCCTCAGTGGCTTATTTACATGCTGAGTATTTGCTCTTGATGAGTCAGGACTTTTTGAAAGTGAACATCAGTTTATTCCTTAGAGAGTAAACTATATTTGTGTGATAAAAGCCCCTGACTGTTCTCTGTGGCATCCACATTTAAACTAAAAGCATGGCGTGACATAGAGTCTGCATTTTGGAAAGGGAAGTATTACAGTGTATTTGATTTCCAATCCTAGCCCATTTCCAGCTGTGCAGCTGGTGCACTGCACCACATGGCTCCAACCCCAAAAATACCAAAGAGTCCATCAAACCACCCCATGTGGACAGTGTTTAAAGCCAGCTCGAATTGATTTAGTAAAGTGGGCCCTTCAGATATTGATGTTGATATCCAGAACATTCATGTAATTCAAGCCTGTTGTTTTCTATCATAGGATCCTTTTGGACTGGGAAAATACTTCACACAACAAAAAGATGGCCACTTCCATATCATAATGAGAGCTTGGTGGCCACGATGAATCATATTTGTCTACTAAACATTTTGTGAATTGGGGCTGTTTGTAAAACCAGACTGCTTTTTTATGTATCCTTATATTTTGGTGTAAGGTGTGATAATGTTCAGATGCAAAAATCACACGGCGGACATTCGGGCATGAGATAAATAACATTTCCTGGCAGTACAAGATAGAGAAAACGAAGTATACAGATATAAACAGGCTTATAGAATATAGCATTGATAAATGACTCTCATCATGGGGCCATATGAATATTAATGTACTCACTACAGGACGTTTCCGGGATCCAGACAGCAGTGACGCCTCAGGTGATGGAAATGACGAAGCCACTGGGTCAACTGCACGACTGATTTTCATTTTAGGGAGGCAACAAAATGCACGCCTGAACTATAGCGATAAGGTTCCATAATGTACGGTATGTAAATCAGAGTTAGGGGTTAGCTATGGATATTCCACCAGACAACATTTTTTTTAATGCCAAATGTATTGTGTTCCTGCTATCTGAAAATGTGTTGTTTTGTGGCGAAACCTTAAGCACATGTTGCACAGCCTGAACCATAGAAGAGAATATAACCGATTTCCTAAACATAGCAGGATGGCCATATTCATTTGTGTGGTGACCATTACGTAGAAATACACTGAACAAAAATATAAACGCAACACTTTTGTTTTTGCTCCCATTTTTCATGAGATGAACTCAAAGATCTAAAACATTTTCTATATACACAAAATAACCATTTCTCTCAAATATTGTTCACAAATCTGAAAAAAATCTGTGATAGTGAGCACTTCTCCTTTGCCGAGATAATCCATCCCACCTCACAGGAGTGGCATATCAAGATGCTGATTAGACAGCATGATTATTGCACAGGTGTGCCTTAGGCTGGCCACAATAAAAGGCCACTCTGAAACGTGCATTTTTGCTTTATTGGGGGGGTCTGGGGAGGTCCGAAAACCAGTCAGTATCTGGTGTGAGGGGTAGGGTTAGGGTTAGGGTTAGGGTAATGTTGTGAATCGAGTGGCCCATGGTGGTGGTGGGGTTATGGTATGGGCAGGCGTATGTTATGGACAACAAACACAGGCCACTCGATTCACAACATTACCCTAACCCTAACCCTACCCCTTACATATGAGCTTCAACAAAAGAAAGACAAATGCACAATTCTGGCTTAGTGCGGACGGTAATCCAAAAATGTGTTTTAGATTTGTTTCTCAATAATGAATATTAAACACTTTGTGCCCTACTGACGTGGGGTGTAATCAGCCAATCTCTTTTGTTCTGAACTATACGACCACGACAAGCAGTTCAATGTCCGTTATACTCTCATTTTATTTCAATGGTCCTAACATATTTAATACAACACATACTCTATATAGCCTGGGTCTATAAAAGGACAGTATTTGCTTATGTCACTATTTAAAACTGTTTTTTTTAAATAACTATTGTGGACTTATATTAACGAGCAAAATGGTGCATTTCCTTTTTTATTTCTGCTTGGTGTTCCACAGTAAAGACTCAAGATGCATCATTTATGATGACTTTAAATACAATTGTATTTACTATAACATCCTCAAGGGCTAGGCTAGGCTTTCTTCCAAGGCTTTTCTTTTGGTTATCTAAATTAACCGAAAAGTAAATTAACTCATAAACACATTTCTTTATTTTTTTAACTGACACATTTGTCATTGAAAAAGCGGTTTAACTTAATCCTTCTTAAATTGGCCTGTTGAGTACACTTTGTTATTTTGTCTTTGCTGCTGAGTACCTTGTGAAAGGGTGAAAGAAAAAGTTTGTTTTCCTTTGCTGAAAATCCTAAATTGATAGTTGAGATTTCAATACAATATGTTTCTAAGAAGTGATTTCAAATCCAATTAGTAATACAATTAGAGATATTTAAATGATCTATGTTTGTTACTGGTACTGATGAAAAAAGAGGCGGTGCTTAAATATAAAACACAGAGATAATTCAAGGCATCATAAAAAACCGACAAACTAATTTCAACAGTGATAGTGACAGACAAAAGTAATTCCCTTTAAGTATGCCACTGTGATTGTTTTGTATCTTTTGCAATCAAGTAGTTCATCATCTATTTAACAGGGAAAGATTAGACCCATTACATTTTCCCTGCTCTTTTATGATGTGTTATTGTCTAATGAACCATGAAAGGGGGGAGGATTTTTTGCATACAGTAGCATTTCATGGCACACTGTTGGGTGCTCCACGGCCACGGGCCAACGTTCTTAAACGCAATTACTGATGAAAATCGTTTCCTTATCAGTAAGAGACTAAGACATAATTTCACTGCCAAGTGGATAATAATATCAGTCAATGCAAAATGAGGAAATGGATAATTTCAATGTTCTGGTCAAATGTTACAATTATTTTTGGTGATTTTGTTCTTTCTTTAGGCAGGATGTGATGCTGGTAATGTTGTACCTTGTTCGCAATGTGTTTCATTTAACATTCTTTCAAAGGAAAATAAATTGGAGATTGTGCCGTATTGTTTAATACATCACAATATTAGTTTTACTGATGTATTTTAAGTTGGCATGAGTTACATTTACTGTACATTTTCCCATCCAGGCTGTGGTAGGTGTGTATTGTCCGCTGCCTCTGTGATAGTTTGAATAAAGAAAAAGTAAATTGGGCCTTGTTTAAATCTGGTTTTAGACAAACCTCTTCCTGCTTCTTTGCTGATACTGTATGTGTTAGCAATTTATATGTTTCTAAAATATTTATAGACTAAGGTCATATTTAGTATTAAAGTGCCATTTTATAGAGCTAAGGGCAATAATACAATTGTAATACCCATCCCTAGCCGCTTTAGTGAAACAAAATGGAGTTTTTATTTTGTATTTGATGAAAAAGCCAATCTTTTGGATCAACATTAGTTTTAACAATTCATGAAGTAGCGAGTCGATAGTTGAAAGTTTCCTCCAGTGGTAATTGACACCGCTGGGAGATGGCGTCCTTCCACATTAGTGGCTGGGTGTCATAACATATCGTAAAGCAGACTTCTAACCTTGTCAGAACTTATCATGACACCAATTAGATGTAGAAGAAAAAAGAGACAGCCACACAGCTGAGGATGTACTTCATGCTCATCTGCAAAAGGGTAGCAGTTTTTGTATGAAGAGGCGCAATCTGTGTGACTTTCCAAAAAACTCTAGGGACGCATGAACGGTGAACAATCTCAGAAAGAACAGAAAATAAATACATATCATGTCACGGTAAAGTGGCAATGACAAGGGCACTATCTTATTTGTTCGGTACAACCCAATTAACCTCACTCTATGACATCCTCTTGTAACGCTAAAATAGACTTTGTCATGTAACAGCTCTCTTTTTTTGTCTCCCTCCCTCCTTCCCTCCCACCCTCCTTCCCTCTTCTTTTCTCTCCCATCAGGTCTCCACATAATGGAGCGAGAATGAACAGAGAGCGGCTTAAAAAAAAGCATGAACTGGAGGTTTATTGAGGTCATCTGCTTCCTGTTTATATGGGACCATATAACAGTTCAGTCTTCCCGCCAGGACCCGTTGGCCACTGAGCAACATGTCACCAAGCAATATGACTGGCTCATCTCTGACCGTGGACCTTTCCACCACTCTCGGAGTTATCTATCCTTTGTGGAAAGATTCCGCCAAGGATTTACGACCAGATATAAAATTTATAGGTGAGTCCACTTTCAACCGGTGTACTGTTGCCACGCATGCTTTTTAAGAATCTGTCTGTTTTAATGGCTTTTTCTATTTTGAGTTTTTAGCTGCAAAAAGCTGCACTGTGTACATTTTTATTTTAAGTGTGCATACTGACTTGCAAGAACTCTCAGCACTGTGAACTCCTTTTTCTTAAATTAATAACGCACTCTGCTAGGACCTTCACTCCACTCCAAACATTCAAATATTCTGGACCCAAAACTTTACATAATCCCATTTAAAGTCTTCCCCATGTATTTCAAAATACATACATCCATATTTTAGGTGCAGGCTTTTGTTTATAGTCTTCAAACCCAAGCCATTACATTTTCATTGATATTTCCAAGTTTAACTGATCACATTAGTAGCCAAACAATACGTTTCACACTTCAGAATTGAAACTCACTGGTTTTAACTGGCTATTGATGAAGTCAATAGTTCAGACACATTGTCCATCCATCCATCCATCTTCTCCCGCTTATCCGTGGTCGGGTCGCGGAGGGTAGCAGTTCCAGCAGAGAGCCTCAAACGTTCCTTTCCCTGGCCACATCAACCAGGTCTGACTGGGTCAATTTTGCACATATCAAAATAAATGTTGATGTGTTATGTTTCAATGATCACCCTAACCCTAAACTTTACGCAGACAATTCGAAATGCTTCTGCTTTTACACCACTGATCACTCATTTGTATCAGTGTTCCACTGTAACAATGTATTCTCGTTAGCACATTTTACATTTAATATATTCATTATAATGTCCACATTCTACCTGATTTGTTTATTTTCAGCTAACTTCTCCTTATTTGTTACATACGGAGTACAAGGTAGAGAAATAAGATGGTTAGAAACCCTCTTCCTCAGAATGATGTGCTTTGATTCCCTTAGATCCCAAGTCCCTAATCAGTATCGAAAGACTGTGAGAGTAAGAGAGTCATTTGCTTCATTTGAGTTTGTTTTCTGTCTCTCTGCTCCCTCTCTCTTGGTAACTTGCCACAGCCCCCGGTCCCCACTGGCTTTCGTGCCTTGATATTGTCACATGAACAGTAAACAATGCATTTGCATAATATGTAACTTGACAGAGCGGGATGTTGCACAGAGATATGAATCTCAGAGGCAAAACTTCTGAGGCCTCGTTCCAAAGACTCTGCACAGCCGTCAAATGCTGTCTGTGAAGCTGCAGTGATTTATTAAAACAGAGGGTGTGTGTTTGCATGATGGGGCTGCTGGGAATGTTGCCGGGCCCAGGTGGCTCCTGTTGTTTCTCCCTCTTAACAAACCATTAGTGGCATCAAACTCAGCCATCAGTGCTAGAAATTATTTTCCTCGTGACAAGACAATTAATTTTCACATTAAGAGTGTGAAGAATTGGATGTGTTTCTCGTTAAAAATTAGATGGCAACAATTAACATTTCACATTCACATCTGTCAGGCATCTGTAACACGGGCAGACAAAGTGTGATAGATTTCTTTTACAGCTACAGTATGTTTTAAGTGATACCCCTAAAAAGACATATCCATTACTAACATGAACACTATACAATAGAGTCTAGTGTACCCTACTTTTTTTTTCTAGTGAAAGGTTATATACCTGTAGTATTTAGTAAATAATCATAAACAGTTGATCCAAGGCTGTGAAACATTCTCCCAAAGGAACAAGCATTTCGTAGGTTTTTCATCCCCACTTGGACCAGCAGTTATTCTCAATGATTAGTACATCTTCAACCATAGCGGGGGGGGTGGACGGAATACGTGACATCAGCTGGTGTATTGTTTGGTTGGAATAAAATCATACGTACCCTCGGCACATGATTGCCCAGCCGTGCTCTACTCTAACCAGCAGTGAGAACTGAATCGCTCTGTAAATTTCCCCCGGGACTTTCTCCGCCTCGACGATTTAGTGCTGGAAAGCGGTTGGATCAGATTTGCAAAGAGACAAAGCATCCATACTTTCAGGGTTCTCTTATCGAGGTAGATTACCCCGGCGGCGCGCTGCGTGGACAATGCCAACCTGATCAGCAACAAACAAATCTGCCCCATCTTTAATGACATAACCTAATTTATAGGATAAACACAGATTTAGGATGTGCCAGCCTCCTGTCGAGTGCTCCGGAAAGGTCACAGTCACTTGAAGGGGAACGACGCAGCGCAAGGCACCAATTAATCCCTCCCTCTAGACGTATGTCTCCTAAAGAAATGATTGGAGTGCGTTTTGTATAAGTAATCGTCACCACTGTGTCACTGCTGATGCGATCTTCAAAATGTAATTCCTTCCCTTTTTTTCTTCCCTGTTATCGTACGCCTAGCTGTACATTTCCTATATGATATTCATCAGTCACAAGAAAAAGCCACTTTCACTGCTTGCTTCATACTGCTGCTGTATCCGACCTGCAGCTGAATAATGTGTATCATTGTGTGCTTCAGTTAGTGGTGAAACTCGATGGCCTGCTTTGCTCACACTATAGCATCTCTCATTCTGTTGCTTGTACTCTATTATGGGGTCGAATGTGTTTCAGATAATGCGTGTTCTCTCTTTGGTCTTTGTTCACAGAGCTCTATCTCAGGTTCTTGTGTGCCTGACTGAAAAACCAATATAAATGCAAATCTGTTTGCCATTAATGCATTTTAAAGCCCTCAAATCAGCATTGCACTGTAATCAAAGGACCAAGATGAGGACTGTTATTTAGAATACAAATATTTATGAAAATGAATAGTTCTGATGGATCACACTTTGAAAAGACATGCAGTGAAAGAAGTGAATGAATAGACAGGGTTGATAGAGCCACTCTTGTCAATGGACCAAGGCTTATGAGGACCTCAAATAAATCTATCCAAGGTTTTGAACCAAAGGATGTGATGTCCTGTGACAGTATAATGTTTGGAAATGAAACGAAAACTCAGTCAATGTAAACCTTCAGAACCTCTTCATGTTATCCTTATTCTCCAGCGATATTGAAGAGTTGTTTAGATATTTTCTGGTCGCGTTGCTGTGTATGAAAGCGCTGATGTAAAACAAAACATACAATTGTGAATAATAGGTCAAAGTAGCAAATATCAATCAGTTAAAAACCTAAATAAAGTAAGGAAACATAACGGAATGTACTCACAATACAGCTCAATTTATAAACATTTAATTCATTAGCGAAATAGAAACATGTTATTTGTGATGCTGGATCAAAAAAGCACAGAAATAAAAACATTATAACAGTTTGCATACTGAAAATCCCTTAGTTTCCTTTATTATCACATTCACACAATGTTTTGAGCCATACTGTATGTTCTTCTTTTGACTGCTCTTCAACAAGCTTGCAAAGCAATGACAGAATCAGTCAAAATACGCACTTATGTATAATGATATTAAGTGTCATTAATTTTCCATTAAAAAGGAAAATTGAGACATTGTATGTTCTCATTCATAACACTCCGTTCGATGTCTCACTATGGGATGCGCCTCATCGCGGAGCAAACAGAAGCATAAATCTCATTACGCCAATCCTGATTGGCTGGTGATCTTGACGTCAGCGTCAGGGAATTCACCCCTTATAAGTAGCTTGCGCCACGACGCATGCGTCAGTCAAACACCTCTTCTCGCTTCAGAGCACATCTCTATAGTAGCCGGATAAGCTTAACGGTCCACAGACTGAACCCAAATAAAACCATTTCGGTCGACGGGCGCTCGCCGGCTACTCCTTCTGCTTCGCAAGAAGACGGTAATACTAACGCCAGTTAGTATTAAAATCGACCTCGCCCTTTCTTTCCCCGGAAAGTAAGGTAAGGTTTTGATTTTTCTCAAGCTAGCTACGCACCTGTTACTAGCTAGCTTCCCCTTACTTACTTCTCTCTCACGGAGGAGAAAAGGATTAGAAGTATATTGACACACCAGTCAATATTCTTTGAGAACAAAGGACCCACACCGTCCCTTTTTCTCCGGATTAAGGACGGGTTGGTAACACTTTTTCTCTCAACGACGTACCTGTTACGAGCGGGTCCTCTCCGTGTCAGGCCGGGACCCCGGTGGCGGCAAGAGACGCGGGAACGGAGCCCCACGCCTCACCAGGCGGGAGCTCCCGGCGAGACCTCACCATGGTCTCGCCCGTGGAGGATGTCCTGGAATTAGACTACATGGAGGACGAAGAGGACACCTCTGAGTTCCTCCTGTCTGATTCGGATGAGCAAGAAGAAGATATCTTCATGTCATCGGCTCAAACGGCAAAGCTGCGAGCGATGGCTGCTCTCCCGGGCGATAGCACACCAGCTTCGCCCTGTCTGAGCATGGACCTGCAGGCCGCGTGTCAGCGCACTGCGTCCAGGCTAGACATCCCGTGGCCCGAAATAGCCAAGGAGACCGCCAGGTCCCGTTACGAGGGGAGACATTCTCCCCAAGCAACGAGGACAAGGAGGCAACTCCTCCCGGTCTTCCCGGAGATGTTGGATGAGGTGTCGGTCTCGTGGAGGGACCGACCCTTTAGCAACAAGGCCCCAATCCAGAGTGCCTCCTCCCTAGACTGCAACGGTATGGAGAGGCTCGGCCTACTCCGCATACCGCCAATGGAACTGCTGGTGGCAGCCCACCTCCTACCGAGGATGGGCCCGTCACCAAGCAGGAACCCCACGCTGCCAGTGAAGGTGGACCGTTTCCAGTCGACCATGACTGAACGGTCCTACAGAGCCGCAGCGTTGTCCGCCATGGCTCTGAACGTTTCCTCACTGCTAACCGCATACCAAGCGGAGCTCTGTGAGGATATGTCGAGTAATCCTGGACTGGCCGTTCTGGACGAGTTGGTCACAGACATTTGTCTCTGTGTCCAACGCTGCGCCGTCCAGGCCACGGGCAAAACAATGGGGATCATGGTGGTGCAGGAAAGAGCTAGATGGCTCAACCTCACCAACCTCCCAGACCGGGAAAAGGAGGATGTGCTTGACATGCCCATCATTCCCGAGGGGATTTTCGGCTCCGCTCTTGCCTCCATACAGAGGAGATG